GTTCCCCATTGCCTGAGATGAGCACATCGTCCGTTGAGGCTTTGTCCTTGATGTATTTRTGGATCTTGGATGTTTCATCCTGGACAGTGGCTCTCACACTCACTAGTCCTCTACCTCCTTCCTCATGGCTTGTGTACAGTCTCAGGGTGCTGGATTTGGGGTGGAACCCTCCATGCATGGTTAGTAGCTAAAATCAGTCATACATTCCAGAGATTTTATTATCATCACCATCAAGGGACAAATTCTTGTTCCTGATCCCAGACAGGGCCTGACCATCCATTAGGTTTTACCACCAATTATAGTTTGAAATAGAGCCCATATCAATGAGAAACAACTCCAGTGTCACTATCAACAAATTCATTCACAGATTTATTGTCAGAGCAGAAGGGTATGCCTTTGTCTCYAATGCTAAATTTAGATTCTCTGCTAGAAGACAGTACTATTGATGTTTGCAAGTGAACAGAGAAATCCAAAAGAATTACAGTAACAATATACTGAATGTTTAACATGATTATTGTCACACATTTATTCAAGACTTAAATGTAAAGTGTATAATGTTAATTTACAATAACATTTAGCTATACTTTAGACTCTCTGAGTGCTAAAAAGYTATTTGCTTAAGTTTCTTTCAGCAGAGCTCATTTTTAGCACCTCATAATTTGAATTCTGGTACCACTGATGGGTCGTTGCTCCTGTGGGGTCATCTATGGGCCATTCCAGTTAATTAAGGTTAATTTGTTTTTGTGAATGACTGTGAACAGGTGTTGGAGGTTGATGGTAGCTTCCACATTGAGGAATGTCATAAATGGCTTCTGCTAGTGAGTTTGTTGTAGGAGATAAATTGTTTTCTTTGCAAATGTTTATGGGATATGAAAAATCATAAAGTCACTACTTTTTCCCCACAGATTTTGCTTTTACAATTTAAAGTTTTACCAAATACTTCTGATTTACAACCTACAGTATTTGTCTATATACAATTTTGTGTTAAGTGCAAAATTTCAAGTCTGAATACATTATAAAGTCCTGTAGGTCACTCCGAGGGGGAATAAACATTTCCACCTGTCTTTGACCCTGGTCTCAGAGGACCTCCCTCAAAAGAGACATTTTATTTTCTTTAATCAAGATCAACAAAATAATAGTGTTCTTTATATTTTTGATTTATATTTTCTTTTAACCAAAAGTTATCAATTTATAAATCAAAGTTACATAATGGAAATAATGAAAACCTATCTTCTTGCATTATAATTAAGAAAAGGTAAAACACAAAAAAATATTGTTCCAATGTTTTATGCAAATCCTTGTTTTTATCAACTGTTTATGACAGTTATGTGATTGTGTTTTTTCTGATTTATTTTTCAATTTATCTCTATAATTTACTTCACTGCTTAAACAGCTCTCGTTTACAACCAGATCAACTTGAATTCCCTGCCTAAAGTCTGACTTATTTGTGTATCCTCATATTTACACAGAAAAGGTGTTTTATTTCCTTAAACAGAAGAACCTGTGATTTTACTTATAACGGTTGTTATAAGAAGCATAGTTGTACCAATCTCTACAGTACAGTTGTCAAGGTTTCTACATTACATTAAGCTTCTGTCGTTGCATCTAACAGTTATACTGAAGACAGATTAATAAGGCAAATATGTTCTGCAGACTCATGAATGTAAGATTTGTTGGCAAAAGGAGTTGGAATGCAGAAAGAATCAAATAAATCAAAAGGAAAACTGTTTAATAACAAAAGTGGAAAAAGAAAGCCGGTGTGGCAGCAAACTTACTTACAATGAAATAAACTCAGGAGGACATAAGGTGAAGACATAACAATGCTGAATTGTGGAGTGGAGGCAGAGAACTGAATTTATAGAACAAGGGCTGATGAGGACATGGAAAACAGCTTTCTAAAATAACAACCAATAATATTTTATGTGCACCAAGAAGTAAAGTTAAAAGGCATTTGCCATAATTTGTTAAGACAACAAAACACAACATTAACCAGCAAGTCATTAAATTACATTTTTATATGGATTTTGAGGAAATAAGTGGCAGTTGTAACTGACAGGTATTATAATATTTTCCGCCAGGAATAATTAAACGCAGTATCTTTACATCCAGGTACGAGATCAGAGATACACATTTGGTTGAGGAGAACGTCCTGCAGATCCTGAAGGAGAAGGCTGATTTTGACAGCTACAAGCCTCGCCCTTTCAACATGCGTGAGTTCTACGACCGTACGGGCCACGACATCAGGGACATGCTGCTCTCCTGCTCCTACAGAGGCTCAGGATGCAGCCCGGAAGACTTCAAAGTGGTGAGTCAGGCGCAACGCTGTGTTTCCTCGTCTTGGCCAGCTGAGGCTATGCTGAAACCCAGGGTCATCTGAACGTTTGCACTGCCAGGTCAATGTTTTTATAGTTTATCGTCAGTTTCATGACCTCTGTGGAGCAATCACCACAGTGGTGTGTATATGAAGAACTAAATTAGGTGCAAATATTATATTTTTATTCCATCTTTGTTCTGAAGGTTTTTATTATTGCACCTTTTTTAAAGTTTATAAAAATGTTTGTGACAGATGCAGTTTATAAAGACTGCTGACATGAAACTCATCAGTCTGCTGGAGGGTGCAAAACACTCAAAGTTATTTATTTTTCTGTAAATGCTTATTTTTTATTTAGATGGTGCAATGTTATCATAAGGAATGAAAATAGACATTTCGCCTTTGGTCCCGTATATATATGTATATATACTGTGTGTGTGT